CCAGGCAGTTTGTGAAACAGATCCTCAGGAATGTAATAAAGCACAATAGCAATAATTTCCTACAGCATTTGCAGCCCATGGGAGATGTTGTGTAAAAGCAACACATGACATGAATCCATCCCTAACACAGTATTATCAGCTGTCTAAAGGTGTTGCCTGCAGACAATAGCTCTGGCTCTACACAGGCAGACTGTTAAAGGTGCTCACACCAAAGAGCCTCACTAAACTGGCACATGAAGTGGAAGTACTCTGATCCTTTATTTGAGTAAAGTAGCAATACCACAATCTCAAAATACACCATTACAAGAAAAAGTCCTGAGTTGAAAATGTTATTTATGTAAAAATATAAAGGCATCATCACTCAGCAAAGTGTATAAAGTATCAATAATTAAAGGAGGAACTATGCTAAAGAAAATGTAAATATATTAAAGTACCTCAAAATCATACTTAAGTACAGTATTTGAGTAACTGTACCTTGTAACATTGCACCACTGGTTATTCCACACATTTGACAAACATTGAGATGTACTTTATTCCAACATAATGTAAATATTTAGCCTTGCTTTTACAGCCATTAAGGTTGCTAGCTATTTTAATAAACGCAGGTTAATGGAAGTTGACATTGAAATGATTGCAGTGCTGCTGTGTTGGGAGAAGTACTGAGATCCTTTACTGTAGTCAAAGTCAAAACACTATGGTCTTAAAAAACTCCACTACAACAAAATTCCTGTTTTCAAAATGTTACTTAAGTAAAAGTAATCAAGTAGTCAAAAAGTTAAAGTACGCATTATGCACAATGATCCATTTCAGAATAAAGTACAGAAATATGATCAGCTCAATGAACTTCAAGTGTCAAAAGTACACGTTATGCAGAATGGCTATTTTCACAGTATTATATTATTATGGTTATTATTTGATCCTGTTGTTACTGTATACATTTAAGATAATGTTAGTAATGTAGTTGGTCAATGTGGACCAAATTTAGATAATAGAATGACTGTGTAGATTAGTAGTAAAGCACTGCATTATCAGCAGAGCATGTGTAAAATGTAAAATATTGGCCTCTGAAATGTAGTGGATTAGAATAATAAAGTAGCATTAAATGTAAATACTCAAGTGAAGTACAAATATGTAAAAAGTACAATACTTTAGTAAATGTAGCCTACTTAGTTACTTTCCACCACTGTGTATAACTGGGTGTGTGCTGCATTGAATAATGGACGTGTTAAGTCTTGCTGTGCTGTGTAGACAAATAGTCTCTGGTATGAAACACTTGGGGACATACAAATAAGACATGTTGGGAGCCCCAGGGCTGACATACTCACAGGGACAGACATCTTGCTGCTGCTGTCACTCTCTGGCTTTCAACCGCACGGTGGTCCTTTTCCCAAATTGCTACTTTTCCACAAGAACGAGGGTTTCTTCAAGTGTCAGTCCTGCTTCAGCCAGTCCATACTGCACCCTGTGTGAGAGGCAAACATCCAGCTGTAGGGCGGTGTGTGGCTCTTTGACTTCAGAGAGCTAGCATATGTCTCATCAGCAGAAGCAGCAGTGCGGCCGCATGAACGTGCAGCACAGCCGGCTGTCTCTCCTCCGTCTCCCGCCTTCCCTCTATCTCAGCCGCTCCTCGCTTCGTTCACGAATTCCTTCACGAAACCCTTCAGAAATGCTTCAAGAAAAGCTTTTAAACGACGAAGCGACGAGTCTGGAGGTCAAGCGACTTCCACCGTTGTATTGACAGCCGGTCTGAACCGTGAATGAGGCCGGAGAGAACCGCCTCTGTGCCGCGGTGTGCTGCCGCGCGTGCCCCCACATGGATGATCCAGTCCAGCCTTAAAGAGACCGCCTGCTAGCTACCCGCCGCTACACGCATACTGTACACTCCACATCCTGCACTTAAAAACCAACTGCACGGTCCCCCCTTAAAGGAACACACTAATGTGTTGCATGCTCATTTATTACACTTGATTTATATTGCAGACAACTATTTTGCTAATGTATTTAGGGGATTTGAATCACACTATGGATTATATGCACAGAACAACAGTACTACTCTTAACATGATAGGGGAGACTGGGGACGGATGAAACACTTTTTGCATTTCTCTCAGTTTATCGGAGACTTTTCGGTCTAGACCGGTATATTTAATTTAAATATGCTTATTTCCCATACCATTTATAAGGATAACATATAACATATCATTCAGTATTTGTCTGCAACTGACCCTTACCCAGGGACAGTTGCAACATGTTTAAAATACATTACAATAGTTGTAATGAAATCATTATTTAACATTATATCGTTTCCTTACCACCCAGGTCACGGAAGTCAACACAACTATGATTCCTACTATAGTTAGGATACATTCATTAAGGTCACAACAGTATCCCATAAATCCGGTTCCGAGAAAAAACATGTTTCTGTAACAACTTTGTTTTCAATATGTGCAGCAGCAGTCATTATTCTGCCATGTTTCTGGTTGGAGGAATAAGACCTGTTGGAACCGTCACCAGTCTCCTGTACAATAAAAGAATAACACGTTTTCACAAACAATCAAACAATTTAAATATTAAATAACATACTATAAGAAAGGGTGAGATTGACAACTTTAAAGAAAGTATATTTTTAACAATCACAGCCAGTGGTTTCATTAAAATGTTATAATCTATTAGCAAACTCTTGAAAATGGACTGAACTTTGTGTTCCACCACAGTTTTTAAAATGGTTAGCTGTGATGTTGATTTGCGTTACCTTCCAGTGTCTGACATTTATTTACAGTATATGATGAACTAGCTTGAATTATTTTCTATTCCATCCCATCTTTTGACGTGGTGCGTTAGTTTGTAAAGTCAATGTCTGAAGTTAGTTGCATGTTTCTGCTTATTTTAACAATGTGTCGCAGATTCATTTAAGACTGACACAAATCATATTGGGTTATTAATAATCCCACCTCTGATAACATGCAGGAGTGTGAAATCAGTAAATCATTATAATAATTGGAGTATCTAGGTTGTCAGAATGATGTGTGGTATAAGACCCTGCTGTGTGTGTGTGTGTGTGTGTGTGTGTGTGTGTGTGTGTGTGTGTGTGTGTGTGTGTGTGTGTGTGTGTGCGTGTGTGTGACACATCCAGGCTCCCAGCTGAGGGTTAAATGTGTGGTATAAGACCCTGCTGTGTGTGTGTGTGTGTGTGTGTGTGTGTGTGTGTGTGTGTGTGTGTGTGTGTGTGTGTGTGTGTGTGTGTGTGTGTGTGTGTGTGTGTGTGTGTGTGTGTGTGTGAGACACATCCAGGCTCCCAGCTGAGGGTTAAATAAAGGCAGCTATTCTCATTTCTATTTGCCCAGTAACACCACAGCTACATGCAAATGTGTACTGGAGTCTATAGCGCCTACAAAAAAACATGAAAGTCAAAAAACAATTAGAAGCACAATTTGGTTCAATAACAACATGTGTCCTCTATTAATACAACACTATCATCAATAGTATGTTTGTTGACAAACCCGAAAGTTAGCGTGGCACAGGGTCTCTCGATAAAAATCTATTGGATTTTTCAATTGGATTTCTGAATATTGCAGAAAATAAGTTGTTTGGCAAACAAAATGTTATGATACGTTATGTTTAGCAGGATCATCTCCACATGTTAACATCACTTTTATGATTTGTGTAAATGCGATCACCAAAAGTAAAAAGCTAAAGTTAGACCATAAACCTTTACATGCCAGTCGCATGGCCACGCGTCACCACGGCTAAGCTAAAGGTGGCTAATGTTTGGCGTCAGACAATTAGTAGTCTAATTAAGCTACTTGTTAGCAGCCGCCCTTTTTGTGACACAAAGATGCTACGGAAGTATACGAATGGAGTATTTATTGGCCTATTTTATGTCGTAAAACTTGAAATTCTCTTCAACTTGTGATAACCACAGGCTTTATTTCAGGCACTTAACCAAAAACACTTTCAAAAGACAGAGAAGGGAACCAGACGTCGAAAAATGCTGACTCATTTCCAGGTTTTTAGGAATTATTCCTGCTACACTCTATTGCACTTTGTCTTAATTGACAGGTGTGGTTCTGACCAACTGTGTATCTTTGGGTTGTGTCATAAATGATCAATTACATTTTTTTAAATTTGATGCATGGAAATGAAACTGTCAAGTGCACATCAATCCCTCATAACTGATGGTCTGTATGAAACCCAAATCCACCTCTACTGCGCTGGAACAGGTTGCACACAAAAGAGATTTAGTGAAGCTATCCTGTCTCTATAAATAGTTACAGCTTCATGTTAAAATGATCATCCCTCTGGCTATCACGTAAATAAAATAAAACATGAGGCAGAGGTCGCAACATCAGTTTGCTGATGTAGTGCTCATATCCTTTAGTAAATCCTAATCTGCTCCAACTGGAACATATTGCAGCTTGTTGGTTGTTTCCATTATTATAAGAGATTATCTCCACCGGTTGTTTATAGGAAGCCGTTACAGTGAATGACCTCAGCTGAGATGTGTTGATTGGAGTGGACTTTTAGTGTCCCAGGATGATGTAAATGCTGTTTCAGAATAAAATGATGACACAAGAGATGCCTACTACTACAGATACGTGGGAACAAATGTGAGGATAATCTCTTGTCAACCATAAAAACCTGTGTGTTTGTGTGTGAGGAAGGAACAGTAATGTAGTTAACCAAAAGCCTTTTTTTATTTTACCACACTAGAGGCACTAAAAAACAGTTGTAGACTTAGTTTGGTTAATAGAAATAAAATGTAAGGACACCTTACAACAAAAAGGCTGCGTAACATGTGTACTTATATGGAATTTTAGAATATTGAAGAGTTTTGGTTATTTTTACATAACTCATTTTTATAATTACTCATTTCAATATGCCTTATAATTCATTGTTGATCATTTCGGGGTTCCATATGTGATCTATGGAAGTCAGCTTCACACTTAGAACAGAGACTCTTCACTTTCTGCAAGCAACTCAGAAAAAAAGAAAATCAACCTGTGAACTTAAAATGTGTTTATTGAATATCTAATATTTACATGAAGAAACAAGATGTCCTCCTCTCAACACTCTGTCCTTGTGTGTTCCTAAAGGACAGATCGGCCCCTGAGGGACAGGAGTCAGTGTGGCCCTCTCATCTGATGGATAACAGGCAGTTTGATTGATCACACCTCCATGGTGGTATTGATCAGAAATACAGTGTTCTGTACAGTGTCCCCAGAGATGGTCACCTGTGTGCATGAAACCACGTGGTCATGATGTCAGTGGAGCAGGCAGATTCAGTGCCTGTTAATAAACATTGAAGTCCTCCTTAAGATCCTTGTAATTGGATCTCAGTTTTTTTGCTACAAAATGTAGCAAATTGTTATAGGGTTATAGGTGACTTGTCAACCTTTCATCAGGATGTGTCACACTACCCTGTACAGATGTCCTTTAGACCTAGCTGAGACCTGATACATTCTGATTGCAATGTGTGGTACATGATTTTACACCTGTAATGTTTTCTCTGATCCTGGTAATCCAGATGACCTCACTCGTTATTACTGAAGTTTCACACAACATAACAAAACCTAGCCACAAATCCCATCCATTTACTCAACCTCATGTTCAGTTTCTACTTAAGTAGTAAATCATCTGGATGTTTCTTGACCTCAGACTTTTTTTTTAATGATGTCACTGTGATCCAATACCTCAGCAGTTAACGTGGTGAGTAGAAACAGAAAATAACAAATATATTAAACCAGAATTATTCTTTAACCCCAAAACTACGTCCTAGTTGTAAAACAGCCCTGTGTGGATGTAAGACAGGAAAGAGTGACCACTTTCAGAAAATGCCCTTAGTGTGAAGGTTTGAAGCTCTAATCGGCTCCCACAGAGATGGAAGAACAAGAACTCAGCAACCCATCGTCCCACAAACTCAGCCTAATAATATCCGTCCTGAAATAGAGTGGAGCCACAGCACCGGTTTGAGCTCACTTTACCCGGGAACAGCAAGTCTGTCATTAGAGAGAGAGAGGAACATCTGCTCCGCTCTGAGGGACTGTGTCATTGTTTCACATTGCTCTGTCGCACTGCTTTCTCTCTCTCGAACTGCCGGTGGTCGACGCGGTCCAAGAAACTCTTCCGCTCCACATACCTACACACACACACACACACACACACACACACACACACACACACACACACACACACACACACACACACACACACACACACACACACACACACACACACACACACACACACACACACACACACACACACACACACACACACACACACACACACACACACACACACACACACACACACACACACACACACACACACACACACACACACACACACACACACACACACACACACACACACACACACACACACACACACACACACACACCATTAGACCTACTTTTGTCAGAACAAGCACAAACTGGAAATGCGTGTGTTGGTGTGTGTAATGACTTGAGTTCCTGTTGTGTCTAAGTGTTTTTAAATTAGCCCCCATCCTTATGCTTGGTTGGAAGGTAAGTTACAAGTAATGTATCTGAGTGTGTGTGTGTGTGTGTGTGTGTGTGTGTGTGTGTGTGTGTGAGAGAGAGGCACAGAATGGAAATTCACAATTTTACTCTAAATCTCAAGCTACTGTACAAAATGTTTTAACGATACAGCACACTATGTTTATATGTTCAGTAGGTTGGTATTTTGGAAAGTATTCAAATGTATATTGTATATTTTATAATGTGTAGATACTCCTGTGAATATAGGTATTTTTTACTTGTTTTAAAGTTGATTAAAAAAATTAAAATGTTTTTAAATGTGTTTTATTTTTATTGTATTCTAATTATTTTTTAAGTAATTTTGTAATTCTTGTAGATTGACAGTCAAAATGCTGCATGGACAAAATGATTTAAAATGTACGTGGGATACCTAAAGTATCCATCTATCTATCTTAGCAGTGCACAGAGACTCATGTTACTTATGTTATTATTGAGCTTTTCTGAGACTATTGCCTCGTCACATTTATAAAAAATGGCCCCTTCACAATTTTCATCAACCCGATAAGGCACTTTAATCCAAGATAATCCTAGTGAATAGATACTCTTGAATTGAAATGTACGTTTTATTTTCATTGTTCACAGGTATTCCTAAGCCTTTCTCATCGGGGAATTCTGAACATCAAAGATCGTGTTGTTCAGAGATCGTATCTGCCTGTTTTACACTCTTTGACCATCAGAGGGTTTTCGTGCTGTGAGGGTCTCTTACCCCTCTTTTCCACGGTTGTGGGTGGCCAGCTCCTCGGTGATGCCTTCCTCCGATTTAAAAGCATCCCAGTCCATCTTAGACTTCTCCAGCGTGCTCATCTTCAGTTTCTTTCCGCCCAGACGATTCATGATGCTCGACATGCCTGCAGGCCGCTTGACACTGCGCACACACAAGGGGGGGGGGGGCTTTAGACGTTCTGCTACATGTGTTCAAAATCATGCTAATGAGATCAACAGAGATCAGAGGAAATAAGAACCATGTAACACTTTAACGTTTTTTTTAAAATATACATCAACTGACACTTTTAAATGGCCTCCGACTCACAATGGCCCAGCTTGATCTGATCAGCTGTAATGCCTTTTTTACATTTTGTGAACAAAAATCCATGCTGCCATTTTTAAATATACGATTTACTGTTAAACCATCATAATGAGGCTTTTTTTTTTAATGTAGACTAAAATGTCAAAAGTCAAAAATGGTGTTATGAAGAACTCGGTCAAATACCAATCAAGAAAGACATGCAGAGATCATGGCAGAGATACAAAACAAACTAGCCCAGCATCCAAACATCAACTGAAGTTTAATGAGATACAAAGTTCCACTCTATAGAAATGCTGGTATTCCATGCTGCACAAACACACAAACTAACAGGTCTTCCATAGAGTGGTGCAGGAATGGGTCCTCAAATCCAGAAATTACCGAGTTGGCTTTGGTTTTCAAAAACATGCTTCTGGTTAAATGCCTCAAATACGGCTGTGGATAACACACGCCCAAGAGATTTTTCACGTTTTGTTTTACGATAGTAAACACACAGGTAGATACTCCACTGGTGAATATCTGAAATGTCTATGTGTCATAAAAACAGTGGTTGCTAACAAGTGACTAAATGGGACCACTAAACGTCATAATGGCGAATATAGCTCTTTAGCTTAGCGGTGGTGACATGTCATGCAACCGTGATGTAGTTCATTTATAGCTGTTACCTTTTGACTTCACGCTATTGCAGTATTTCCCACATCATTTGATTCTATTTGTGGGGGCTCCGCACTCGCAACCTTCCGATCATCAGCCCACCTCACTATCCATTAGACCACAAAAAAAAACTCACAACTTAACACCTAACTCCACTCAACTGCTGCAAAAAAACGAAACTAACCTAATTCTAAGCTGCATCTTAACTTTTTGCAGTGCTGGGAAGTAGTGTGAACACACACACACACACACACACACACACACACACACACACACACACACACACACACACACACACACACACACACACACACACACACACACACACACACACACACACACACACACACACAACACACACACACACACACACACACACACACACACACACACACCACACACACACACACACACACACACACACACACACACACACCACACACACACACACACACACACACACACACACACACACACACACACACACACACCACACACACACACACACACACACACACACACACACACACACACACACACACACACACACACACTAATTGAAAGACTCACTGCCCTTTCACTTACTGGATTGATTTAATGAGATGGGCTTTAAATGTCACAACAAAATGGAGAACGGGTCTGTTAAGCACTTAAGCCACCTTCTATTAACAAAATGTTATTAGATTACAGACGTTTGCTGTATAAAAATCTATTCTGCTGCTCAGAAAATAATATTTTTTAAATAGTTTTCAGGTTGCCTCATGACTTTCCCTCTCACTGATGGTGAGTCGCTGGTCCCTAACACCGCCAGTCTTAAGATGGCATACACTCTGTCCTCAAGTGATGTGATTTATACAGTATCAGAGGAGTCTCTAGAAAAAAAGAAGAAGCTATTAATCACTTTATGAAAGCATAATGATGTTCCCCTGGAGACCACAGCAGACTGGGCTTTTCATTTACTGCTGCATGACTGGACACAGACGTCGTCAATTACTGTGAGCCATTTAAACACCGCTCATTTTGGCGTTCCACAATTACATACAGCCACTCTTAGTAACGTGCTCAAGTTGCAGTGTGAAGCTCCAAAGTCCAAGTTTCCCTTTTTTCTCCCTCATATCAAAGGTCTTTCAATCATTTCACATCAGGCTGAGGCTTCCTACCTGTCCATGAATAGACCCATAAATTAAAAGAAATCATAACATATATAAAGAAATGAATTCATGTTAAATAAATTATATAAAGAAAGTATTTTCTAGCTAATGTCCTAATGTAATACTGTGTTTTTCATCAATTATCCCTGACACAACTTCCCTTTTGTCAACCTGTTGCAGTCTATGAATAAATGTTGAATAGTTTTAGTTTATTACAGCACGTGCATGGTGGGGTGCGTGCCTTTCTATGGAGTGTTTGATTTAATCCTTTGAGTCCTGAGGCCTGTACGAAGAAGCCGGTTCAACATAACCTGGATATGTTTGAGTTACCCGGTTTTCCTAATCCAAAACTAACATGCTCTCGCTAAGTGGTCCTACAACTCTTTAACTCAAGCCAGCTTTGCCCTATCTAGTTAGGGGAGCGTTCACATGAAAGGGGTGGTATTTGGAGCCAGGGCCGGCCCTAGACATTTTGGTGCCCTAGGCAAGATTATGATTTCCACTGCGCCACAGCCTCCCTATTATAAAGGTGTGCCTTGGAAATATTTGTTTACATAAATTGTGACCAAACCGTTTGATTCATCCCTTAGAGCGCCCATCGTACAGGGCAAATGCAAAATGTTGCCGGCCCGGGGTGCAAAGGGTGTTTATTTTATTCAATTATTAATGTAAATGTATAAATAAAATAAATAAATAAAAACATTTCTCCCAGCGCAGCGTGACCGCCTAGTTCGCAAGTGCCAAGGGCCGGCCCTGTTTGGAGCATTCGACCAATCACAAACATGGACAAGCGTACTGACTAGGGTTGGGTACCGAGAACCGGTTCCGATTCCAACGGCATCATTTAGAAATGTGAATTTCGGTTCCGCTTTTCGATGCCTGAGGAAATGTTTCTCACCGCTCTCCGTAGCCTACTGTATGACTGCAGCGGGGCGGGAAATGTAGCGTTGTACCTACACTTCCTACAGCGTAACCATGTTCGCCTAGGGCGCCATATCTGTGGAGGCGCTGCGCTGACAGCTCTGGGAGGAAAAAAAAAAGTTTTGACCGTTGGGGCTCATCCTAATTTTCGGCCTTGATGCAACAACATTCATAATTAAGTAAATGTAACACCCTTTTCATCCCGGTTACACTTTTCATTTGCCCTGTACGATGGGCGCTGTAAGTGATGAAAATGGGGGATGTTGGCTTATCTGGCAACCGCAGCTCACAGCCAAAGTGCGAGTGAGCGTGGGAGTGAGCGTGGGAGAAAGGGAGGGTGCACCGGTACACGCTGTTGTTATTAGCATCTGGTGCTAGCTGCTCTAACGGAAGAAGAAGATGTTTCTACAATGATGTGGAGGGAGAGTCCTCTCCAGTCAGACTGAGGCTGATAACTACAGCTCAGTGAGGTAAAGGACTGAGTGTTTAGATAGTTCACTTTAGTCTAAGTTGTCTCAGTGGGTCTCAAACGTTTTGATCACAATTTATGTAAACACATATCTCCTAGGCACTCCTTTATAATTATTGGGATAAAACAGGTTTGAAATCATTCCAATGTATACTATAGGACATTAAACCAGACATATCGTTTTAAACTGGAGAGATAAAAAAATATGCATAAATAAAATAGTAAAATAAGATATGAATGAACAACAAAAATAAAATACGTTACATGTATTATTTATTGGCTATGGGTTATTGGTTATGCTCACATACTTATTTAATTATTCAAATGTAAACCGATCTCTTTCATATGGGTGTTTAGAGTTGTACCCCCTAGATCTAGTCTCTAGTAATTCTGCTTAAAGTGCACCAGATTGAAGCATTTTACTTTAAAATGTTCAAACATTTCTTCCAGGTATGCCTGAGAAGGCAGATATGCTTGTTTTTCTCAATAAGAACTGTTTTTAAATGGGGGGGGTTCCTTTAAAAGTTGGACTGTTGCAGCTTCAGTGGTTCTCAGGTTACAGTTACATAGCAGTGAATATAAACAGACTGATTAATGTGAATATTACTGTAAACTAACCTGTGTAAAAGTTTCTCGAATAAATGTAATTTTCTTGGTGGAAGAAGCATGTATCATTTTTTTACCCTGCCCCTCAAAGAATCGGAATTGAGAACCGTTAAGAACCGGAATCGAAAAGTGGAATCAGAATCAGAATCGTTGAAATTCAAACGATACCCAACCCTAGTACTGACAGCGCAGCGCGTCATACTTCCTGAATGAAGCGTCAACTATAATGTTAGACAAATATGAAGAAGTTAAACTTTAAACATCCATGACTTAAACACTTTATCCAGGATAAAAGCCACATAGCTGCACCTGCAAGGTGAATACAGCTGGTAAAAGAAAAAGTGTTTGAATTCGTACATTAACAGGTTTATGATATCACTGCCCCGTCTAAGACACGAGTGGATCTGACTTTAATTACATTTGACTCGAGTGTTTCGTCAACTTAATGTGTGTTACTTCTGCATACAGTATGTGACACTGTTACCTCATTCACACCAACGCAACTCCGGTTCAAGCTCTGTGCTAGAGCTTTTCAGGTTCATAACCGGTTCTTTGGTTTAACTCCGGCTCTTTTCACACCGCCCAGAGTCCGACTGATGCTGCGTCATCGTTTGCGTCATGACGTAACCCTTCGCGTGCCTGCTTCATAAAGCCAAACCGCGCGGAAACCCCTCACAGCTCACACCATGGATGTATAATAAGAACGGCTCACACCGACAACAACAACAATGGCCGATTGTGCTCCAGCTTCCTCTGTACCTCTTCAGAAGACCAGATTCCCAGTAGGTAGCTGGTCTCTTCAGTGGAGCAGTGGCTGCTTGTTAAGTTTCTCCATCGTTGTGTACAAGCTGGATAAAACGCCAGCTTTTTGTTGTTGTTCAGGAGTTGATCTGTCTCTGCCCCTGCCCCCGCCTCGACGTTAGCGTGACGTATGTGGTGCTTTTGCTCTAGCCGGACAATTTTTTGGTGCTCGAAATGAACCGGATTCCGGAGCTAAGAGGCTGCTCCGCTGCGGTGTGAACAGGAAAACCCGGTGCTTTTCAAGCTCCAGCTCCGAACCGGCCCTGAAACACCGTTGGTGTGAATGAGGTATGCGAGTGTTGCACGGCCAGATACGGCTCAAGAAGCTGACTCAGATAAGGAAATATATGATAGGCTACATTATGATGTGATATGAATGATAATGGGATACATCGACGTCTGCACTCACAGTGCCGCGGACTGTACGTAATGTTACTTTGATCCGGTTACTTATGTTGTGGCACTAATGTTATAATAGTCAGATTGCTCTGAAGATGGGAGGTGATATTCTATTCATTTTCACGCTAAGAAGTGAACCAGCGTTGTAGGATGCCATATTTCTCGAAGGAAGGAGATTTAAAATCCCTTACAATGTGATCTGAGCAGCAAATGCACCTTTCCATACACAATATCTTCCTGCATGACATTCTTTTGTTAAATAAAACATACAGAGACGTCCCTTAGTGGTCAATAGCAGACGTGTTTGCAGTTTTCTACAGAACAACTGATCCAAATAACATGTAGGAAGTATCCTCTCTCAGATCCTCAGCAGCACACGGCAAAATGTAAGAGTTGGCGAGATAATTAAAAACGCAGATATGCAAGTATGCAGGTAGTAATATTAACAATTCCAATAATTGTAGTTAAATCTTGTGTAACATCATGCCATAGAATAGATGGTATTTTAGAAAACGAATGTGTGTTTAGTGGTAGACCCTTCTGTATCTCAGCACTACCAAATTCCAAAGAATCATTTTGTATTAAGGCTCAAACTGGTTGCTTCAAATGATATGCTTATATTATGTTTTAAAAGGCCTTTATCCTGCAGTCTGGAGATGTATAAATGTGAATGTGTTAGGTCCAACACAGAGCTAAACATAATACTAAAGGAGGAGTTCACTTTCCTTTTGCAGAGTGAGATGAAAAGTTGATGGATATCTTGTTTATGTCTGTGTGTTGAGTTAGGAGTTGGAGCCAGGACGTGGTTAGCCTAGCTTAGCATAAAGACTAGAAGTAGGGGAAACAGATGTAGGGGGGGAAGTGTGTGTGTGTGTGTGTATGTGTGTGTGTGTGTGTGTGTGTGTGTGTGTGTGTGTGTGTGTGTGTGTGTGTGTGTGTGTGTGTGTGTGTGTGTGTGTGTGTGTGTGTGTGTGTGTGTGTGTGTGTGTGTGTGTGTGTGTGTGTGTGTGTGTGTGTGTGTGTGTGTGTGTGTGTGTGTGTGTGTGACGCTGATGGCTCTTTCCCATTTTACACGCAGATGAGATAAACAGGAAATAGCTTTTGGACACACTGTACTTCCTGTCTGTTGGAAGATGATTTCCTGTTTCCTGTCTGGGGTTTTGGAGGGAAGATGTGCCCTTTCCCAAATGATTTAAATTGCCATGGCAATGAAAGGTCATAACTGCGGTAGAGAAAAGGCACACACACACAAACTGAGTAGAGTGTAGCTTCAATAACACAATACTAAATGTGATTCAACCAATCCTGGGGCTCTTTTAGGCAGCAATCACATCATGTACGTGTCAGTGTGTGGGGGAATGCTGTATGTAAAGATGTGAGGGTACCTGGGGCCAGGCAGAGGGGGCTGGCTGCCGCCTGAGGTCTCCTCCTCCTCGTCTTCTTCGTCCTCCTTCTGGTTCTCCAGATACATCTTAGCTTCTTTGGAGTCAGCTGATACCACTTTATTCACCCTGACAGAGGGAGACAGACACACAGCGTGCTCAACTGTTTGCACATGAATAGAAGTAATACAGTATGTCTATGGAGCAGTTTGAAACAGCCAGTATATGATGGTGAAACTAGCCTTACTAGCTCGGAAAAACCCTGAAAACTAAATCTAAACAGGTCAAATTCGGGACTTTGTGTCGTTTTTTACTTTTGTGTTGTTAACGTTAACACTCTGGAATCACCTGGAAACCTTAATGTGTAAAAAAGTTCAACCCCAACATCATCCAGTAATACCAATGAATATTTTAACCATGAATTGCATGGTAGTGAAAATGCAAAGAAAGCAGACGATGAAGAATGGTTACTGCAATTGTTAGCTTTACATGTAGATGTGTTGAAAACAGAGTAAAGGAACTTTTTTCTAAACATGCTTGAGGTTCTTGAAGTGCACAAGAGTGTGAGATAGTGGACAGTCTCCACTGTAGGAACAGATAGAGCTGCAGGACGATATCAATCTGTGTAGCTCACATTATAAACAGGGGGAAGTGTCCATGCTGTAACATAGGCCCATTCCCAAACCGCCCCCTACACCCTACCCCTCCGTTTGCGCGTTCACGCGGAGGGTCCGCCATATTGAGGGCTGTTCCAAAGCAACGAGTGTGGAGGGGGAGTGGGCTATCAAGCCCTCAAACAGCGAGTCTGCAGCGATGTTGACTTGAGACTGGTCTCTACCTGACCGGAGTCATGCTGTGTGTGTCCGTCAGGAAACACGCTGTTTACAAGTAGTTCCAGCAAACATCCACTGATAAATTGCGATGTTAACAACCTCATGATAACCTCATATGTTTTTAACTTAGGATCATACCTGTGTTTAGTCTAGAAAAAGGTAAATGTGTGCATTTTATTATAAAGTTGTGTATATTTACAGACCGTTGCAAAAACTAAGAAGCTTATAAACATCAGGTTTAAAACTAAAAGAGCTTTGAAACACAATGAAAGATGTTTGGAGTTTTATTTGAGTTATTCATTTAAACTTTTTGTCTAAGAGATGCTGATTTGAAACCGTTGTTACATACAGTTACGGCATTTCCTGTTTCTGCCGGAGAGAGGGGAGGCCGTCCCAAAGCTTGCTGCTGTATTTACTCCCTCCATCTGACAGGAGGGAGCCTCGTTGAGCTGCGAGTGTGGCTACAGATGGAGTTCACTCCATCACGGAGGGGTAGGGTCGAGGGAGTGGTTTGGGATTGGGCCTAAGTGTCTGAATTTTCTTACCAGTTTGACGTGCATTTCCTTATAACACCAAACATGTTTAGATTTTGACTCCCCCCAAAATATGGGTAAAAACAAGTGTTTGAAACTTTTAACCATGCATCACTAATGCAATTATTTTTCATTGATTTACCTCTCCAATTATTTTTATTCTTAATATCTGACACCCATTTTCTACTCACACGGCATACTGACCAATCCCAGAGTCAAGAAACTAAGTTTAATTTCTCTGGTTTTAGTAAGTTGACTTATTTGTATACTTGCTCAATGTTTTGTTAACCCCTTACTTTTAGTAAAGCACTTGACCCAACTCAGAAAAAAAGTCCACTAAATTGAAATCAGAGTCATTATGTTTGAGTGTATAAAAGGGCAACAATTCAGAGTCTATTGAGTATTAGATTCATCACAGTTGAGGGGAACATGTGGAGTTTCAGTTTCCCATTGTGCTCCAAATGATGAGCTATGAGAGGAAATCTGCTTAGGGATGCAGAACACTTTTTTAATTTAGCAAGTAAACTAGTTTATATAGAAAGTTGTTGATAGATTTGACACTTCTTCATTCAAATGTGGATTAATGTTATCTTTTTAAACAAATGAATATATAGAAAGGGCATATTTTTTGTCATCAATATAACTAATCTACACAGCCCATTCTGCATCTCAATCCTCTCATTACATTACATTGCATTTAGCTGACGCTTTTATCCAAAGCGACTTACAGGCGTTCGACTAACAAGATACAAACTTGAAGAAAACAGAATCATATAAGTACATCAGGTTTCATAGAGCTAAAACATTTAAAGTGCTACTCAACTGGCTTTAGGTAAGCCAGTCCTTTATTAGTATATAAGTGCTTTGTTAGTAATTCTATCGCTCAAAGTGGAGTCGAAAGAGATGAGTTTTCAGTCTGCGCCGGAAGATGTGTAAGCTTTCTGCTGTCCTGATGTCAATGGGGAGCTCATTCCACCATTTTGGAGCCAGGATAGCAAACCCACGTGTTTTTGCTGATGGGAACTTGGGTCCCCATCGCAATGCGGGTGCAGCGAGCCGTTCGTGCACGTGCTGGGGTGTACAGTTTAACCATGTCCTGGATGTAGGAAGGGCCAGATCCATTCGCAGCATGGTACGCAAGTACCATTGTCTTGAAGTGGATTCTAGCAGTTACTGGAAGCCAGTGAAGGGAGCGGAGGAGCGGCGTGGTGTGGGAAAATTTAGGAAGGTTGAAGACCAGACGAGCCGCTGCATTCTGGATGAGCTGCAGAGGTCGGATGGCACATGCAGATAGACCAGCCAGGAGGGAGTTGCAGTAGTCTAGGCGTGAGATGACGAGAGCCTTGACCAGAACCTGCGTCGCTTTCTGGGTCAGGTAGGGACGTATCCTCCTGATGTTGTAAAGCGTCTATCTGCAGCAGCGGGTAGTAGCAGCGATGTTTGCAGTGAAGGACAGGTTGTTATCTAGGGTCACACCCAGATTCCTTGCAGTCTGAGTCGGGGAAACAATAGAGGTGCCGATGTTGATTGTCAGGTCAAGAATGGGACAATCTTTTCCCAGAAGGAAAAGCAGTTCAGTCTTGTCAAGGTTGAGCTTGAGGTGGTGAGCAGACATCCACTGAGAGATGTCAGCTAGACAAGCAGAGATGGGTGCGACGACCTGGGTCTCTGAGCGGGGAAAGGACAGAATTAATTGGGTGTCGTCAGCGTAGCAATGGTATGAAAAACCATGCGGGCTAATGACTGATCCGAGCGAGTTTGTGTACAGGGAGAAGAGGAGGGGACCAAGAACAGAGCCCTGAGAGACCCCTGTAGTTAATTGACAAGGGTCGGACTCGGACCCTCTCCAAGTTACCCTGTAGGTACGGTCTTTGAGGTATGAGGTGAGGAGGGAAAGTGCAGAGCCTGAAACTCCAAGTTCTTGGAGAGTGCGAAGGAGGATCTGATGATTCACCGTGTCGAATGCAGCAGACAGGTCCAACAGCATGATGACAGAGGAGAGGGAGGCTGCTTTAGCCATGTGCAGTTCCTCAGAGACAGCAAGGAGGGCAGTTTCTATTGAGTGACCTGCCTTGAAACCAGACTGGTGCGGATCCAGAAGGTTGTTCTGATGGAGATAACAGGAGAGTTGTTTAAAGACAGCGCGTTCAAGTGATTTAGACAGGAACGGGAGGAGAGAGACAGGCCTGTAGTTTATAACATCAGACGGGTTGAGAGTGGGTTTCTTTAGGAGAGGGTTTACTCTTGCCTCCTTGAGACTGTTTGGAAAGTGACCAGAAGTTAGAGAAGTGTTGATGAAGTGGGAGAGAAACGGTAGAATATCAGGAGCGATAGTCTGATGGAGGTTTGAGGGTCCAGAGGACAGGTGGTAGGGCGGGCAGAGGTAATGAGGGTAAGAACCTCACTTGGAGAGAGAGGGGAAAAGGAGGTCAGTGTGTGGGTGAAAGGAGGGTCTGGTGATCCAGCGGTGAGTAAAGGTGAGTCAGAAAAAGAAGAGCGAATATCATCAACCTTTTTTTCAAAGTGGTTAACAAAGTCGCTTGACAGAAGGGAGGAGGGGGAAGGGGCTTTGGGGGGGTCCAAGAGGGTGGAGAAGATGGAAAATAGTTTTTTGGGATTGGAATAGAAAGATTGGATCTTATCTTGAAAGAAAGTGCTTTTTGCCTGAGAGGTCGAAGCAGAGAAAGAGGAGAGGAGAGCCTGATAGGTTAGGAGGTCGTCATGGTGTTTGGATTTCCACCGTTTCCGTTCAGCAGCCCGAAGGATGGTTCTATTAGCGCGCAGTGCGTCATTTAGCCAGGGAGCAGGAGGGGACTGACGAGCCTGCCGAGATGTGAGAGGACAGAGAGAGTCCAGAGAGGATGAGAGAGTAGAGAGGAGAGTTTCTGCAGCAGAGTTTGGAGGCAGAAGTTGGAACGAGTCAGAGGAAGGGAGGGCTGAGAGCACCGATGAGGCAAAGGTAGAGGGGGAGAGGGAACGAAGGTTGCGGCGGACAGGTGCAGGATGAGAAGAGATTAGTTCGTTATGTTTGGAAAGGGGTAGAGAGAATGAAATGAAGAAGTGATCGGATGTGTGGAGCGGGTTTACAGAGAGGTTAGAAGTAGAGCAGTTCCTTGAGAATATGAGATCAAGGACATTGCCAGCTTTATGAGTTGGTGGGGATGGAGACAGTGAGAAAGCAAAGGTGGTTAAAAGAGATGTTAGTTCGTCTATCTTCCCTGTCTGGAGTTTGAAGTCTCCGAGAAGTACAGCGGGAGGGCCAGTTTCAGGGATATGTGAGAGGAGATTATCTAATTCCTCCAAGAAGTCCCCCAAGGCGCCTGGTGGACGGTAGAGAACAACAATGGTTCATTGTATAGGATGGGTTACTGTGACGGCATGGAATTCAAAGGTGGAAGGAGTGAAGTTAGGTAGCTTGAAGAGGGAAAAGCTCCATTTGGGAGAGAGCAGGAGACCAGTGCCACCTCATCTGCCAGTGGGTCTGGGTGTATGGGAGAAGGAATATGCTGTGGAGAGAGCTGCTGGGGTGGATGTGTTGGATGGAGTAATCCAGGTCTCAGTGAGAGCAAGGAAATCCAGGGTCTGCAGGGAAGCGTAGCCAGAGATGAAGTCGGCCTTAGGAACAGCTGACTGGCAGTTCCACAGGCCGCCTGAAACTAGATGTTGGATGTCAGTGGAGCATGTGGGATAGACGAGAGCAGGCCGGTTATATCGATTAGGAGATACACGGGGCCAGTGATAATTACGAGAAGACACATAAACAGGAATGGAGAAAATACACATGATTATAGCACGAGGGGCTAAACAACCAAATAAAATAAAACACCAGCCTTCAACCTTGGCTCAATCAAAGTAGGATTTGCCTCCTCTTTGCCTCCCTCGTGACTCCAGCAGGACTCCTTTGTCTTTGTCAGTCTTCGTCTGACGCTGAAGCTCCAGGAAAGTGCTACCTAAAATGGACACCTGATTGCTGAGTTCTCACAGATGTGGGGCCACGCCCCTTTAATTAGTTAACTCTCTGCAGCTGGTGGCCCTCAAAAGGAAATCGAGACTGGCTCCCTCCTGAGTTGTTATTGTCTTTTCCGTGGCACAATGGTTTTACAATTACATTAAACCCTAAGTTATAAAGTTATGAGTTTAACCCTTAATACAGTTACACCTACTCAATAAAGCTCTTAGTATTCTACACATGTTTAAATCAAAGTTAACCCGAGCAGTCAGTTAGTTCACTTTTAAGGTTTCTGTCAAATTACTTGTCCCAAGTTTCTGCCTGACAGATACTGTTGCGGTTTTGAGATTTAAAATCACAATTTCAGTCAGATCAACTACAGAGCATTTATACAGAGTACACACACTGAAACAGAGAAGTCTAAAGACAGAATGTTACTCACACAATTCTAGAAGTCACCAGTTGTTATCCTGTCAAAATCGAGTTGCACACAAAACTCTCCCTCTACACATGCTGTACCACACACTCGCAGTCAGAGGAAAACATGTGTGTGTGTCTCACTGTGGGGTTAGATAGGGAGGCTATATGAGGAACAACCGCTGCATCCTCTGGGAACATCAGCTCTGCACAGACTACACCACCACTTGCATCCATCATGGCGGCACTAAAAGGCTTTCCCTGTTATATATGCTAATTACATGCAGCCATAATTACACAGAGTACACACTGAGTCTCGTCTCAGGGAGGGAACAGAAACCTATGGGAGTCCCAGAGAGAGCTGAAAAAACACGAGGGCCACCGCAGTACGGATACTCTTTGAAATATTTCAGTACTTGCAGACGATTATTTCATAGAAAATCGATGTTCAGACATAAATTCAGTACAATGTTCACTTCAGCAGCATTTATTGTGGCTCTGGGGATGTTTTGAAGAGCAATCTGTTTCAGTAATTACAGAGCACGAAGCTTCATGCATAATCATCCTTATGAATTATTATACCCAGAGTCAAATCTGGTTTCTGAGTAAAGACTGCTCAGATGTAAACATGTAGGACGGGACATTACATGCTCCACATTCAGACTGCAGGGACGTGGCTGTCTGTGGGATGTACAGTTTGGTTCTGTTACACAGTAATAATGAAACTGTTTTGATGGGAACACACAATCTCATGAGCTAGGATATTTACTTGTGCCTGGTTAAAGACATGCAAACTGAGTCTGTTCCAGGACCTTATTTAACTGTTCACATTAGCAGCCACATATAATTAAAGATATTAGTGCTTGCATTGTAAAGTCTGTTAACAACATGTTTTATAGGGCATCATATGTGTCAGTATTATTTTTCAGAACAGATCACCAAGCAGTAGTGCAGGTTATTGTACACAAATGTGTGCGAGGTAATATAAATAGAACCAATTCAAACACAGTAACTCTCAGTGTCACATCTACATATTCAAATAAAGAATGCATGTTTCTAGCTGCTGGGTATTTCAAACACTGTGTAAAATGCAAATCCACACACGTAGAACTGAAAGCCACAAAGGCCTTCTTGTTAATGTGTGTTGTAAAGGTGATACAAATATATTTACAAATACTTATAATTGACTTCAAATCAATGTACTCCCGACTGTGGGGCGACTGTGGCTGCGAGGGAGTGACATCGCCTTGTGGGTTCAATCCCAGCCCGTGCAGTCAACATGTCGATGTTTCCTTGGGCAAGATACTTAATGAATGAATGAGGTGTGAAAGGGTGAATGACTCGTAGTATGTAAAGCGCTTTGAGGGGGTGGAAAATACATGTTTTCAGAGATTTTTGGGGGATTTTGTGGGTGGTATTTTTGTTTTAATTTGCAGATCTGTTTGTTTGTGGAAAGTGTTTTACATTACACACGGATTGTCCATCAAAGACTGTTAAGACAATCCTCCATAATGACCCAGTGTTCTGTGTGGTACATCTAAAAATGAACGTGACAGCCTATGAACAGACAGAATGAACAACACACTGATGCTGTATATAAAGTTGGGCGCGAGGGGGGGGGTGCAGGGTAACTGTTGTATTTCACCAGAGCCCGGTCCAGTTTCTTTTTTGTATATTATGATGATTATGGTATTAACACTATTGGAAACAAAGCACTATCTTAAGTGATTATTTTTAATAGGGGAAATATTTTCCTTTTTTATTATATGTAAATGATGGAGATTGATGACTAGACATCATGTTCTTTCTCTGATGAGATATTTTCAACCTATTCATTGTTGGATGGTTATGAACCATTTGAATCATCATGAATTAGCTGAAGGTGTTTAATGTCTGAATGACTGTAAAAATAAACCTTGGTATGGGGACACATACTGTAGTACTGCTATGCTTTCACAGAGTTCACGAGGTTACATGTGTGTTTGGCACCGCCTACTGGTCAATGTGTAAATAGTTAAACCACTGAGACTATCAACATCATTTATAGAATTGTGTACAATTTGGAGATATCTGGTTATTTACAGAATGTCAGGAACTTGTATTTAACTTTGTATTTAAAGGCTGTACTTACTTCATCTACTTCATTATAATTAAGTTTCAATTTGTTGGAGAGATATCTACCGAAATTAGCATGCTAACTGACTAGCCCCTGCCCGTTCACAATTAGTGAGCAGAGGTTGGCCCGTCTTATTACTGTCCTGCCACAGCCAAAGTAACTGGATTTTTTTTTTGTCAGAGCATTTGATTTACTAAATACTCTACCCAACCTAGCTTTTTCTGTAAACTTTAAAGCTCTGATTTTATTTTTACCAAATGTAACTATTTGGCTCATCTTCCTACAAAATCTCTGGTTTATTAAAAGAACATTTTAAGTCTTAAACTGTTGATGAGTGTTCAGAGGCATACCTTACTTCTTCTCCAGCGAAGTCAAACACTTGGGTGATGGTGACTTTAGCAGGTTCAGGAGCTTTGGTGTCTTTACTCGAGGGAGCAACCTTCAATACTGAGATATCCTCCTGAGGAGGAATACAAAACATCAGTATATGGGAGGGACAAGGATGAGACACATAATCAATGATTTACATGTGATATTGTTATGCAACTTTAAAAAAATCATATGATATCCCAAGTCAGGGGCCGGAGGAACGTGGAACAGACAATAAAACAACCACTTTGTTTCCCTCTCTATTTATCCAGGTTTATAACCATTTTAAACATGGCCTTCTGTGACTTTATTTAGTTAGTTTATGTTTAGTGTATGTCAGAGATGGGAGTAAGTCCTACATGTGCAAGTCATGAGCAAGTCTCAAGTCTTGACCTACAAGTATCAAGCAAGTCCCAAGTCACTGTGGTGAGAGTCAAGCAAGTCAAGTCATTGCTCAGCTCAAGCAAGTCAAGTCATACGAAATTCTGATGAATGAGCCCAGTTTCCACATTTAAATCAGTTAAAAGACAGTGGTTATGAAAATGGATTCAACCCACACTATGATCTTCATTACATACACAGTTAATCATTTGAAATCTAATTTAGACCGATGACAATCATATTAGATTCCTATTAACCCTAGAACTGCAGACAATATAGCTAGGACTCAAAAAGTCTGTTCAAAAAGGCAGAATTCCAGGTAAGAAAATCATATGGCATTTGCCATTACACATATTTAACTTACATTTCTGTTAACACTAGAACCACCAACAGCGTCAGCACCTACATAGATATCATTTTCAAATCATTTAATTTGTTCCTCTTCATAATTTCCTTATAAACTAAGTAGATTTAAAACACACTTAATTGGGTTCATTTAGAAATGGCTTCAGTTTATCATCATAGCAGATCAAAAAGTTCAGATTCATTTTACAATAAATCAAGGAATGATGCACTTCTACAAACAAAAACAACATAATTAAAACATTTAAACAAACTACTAAAAGTAGAACTACATTATTCAAAAGTTTACAGTAACTTCTGATAATAACACAGGGGAAATAAACGAGGCTCCTCTAGAGTCATGAGATCAGGATGGAGAGAAGAGCGAGATGAGAAAGAGAGAGATGAGGGAGAGAGAGAGGGGAGAGAGCGGAGAAGAAGAGAGAATGAGCGGTCTTAGAGAGCAGGAGAGTAGGAGAGAGATCTGAGAGCGCGAAGAGATATGAGGAATCGTAGTGAGAGTCGATCTAGCTAGACGCTCGAGTAGTCATCTATCGCCTCTTGCGTCTCTATATCTCGTCTCTCTCTCTCTATCTGTCTCTCTCTCTCTCTCTCTCTCTCTCTCTCTCTCTCTCTCTCTCTCTCTCTCTCTCTCTCTTCGCTACAGCCGTCAGTATCAGGGTTAGTCAAAATGAATCCTTGGCGGTTCTAGTGTTCATTTACCGTTTTGTCTTCTCTTTGCTTAATCGATTTGAAACCAAGTCTAACGTAGCTTAAACTTAACGTTAGCTTTCTAGCTAACACAACACATGCACGCACCTTTCTCCTGTGGGGTTTTTTGTAGTGACGAATGAAGTTGGATGTTGTGGTGGTTGTGTCACTGATCTGTATGCTGCAGACCCTGCATACCGCTGTTCTCTTCTTATTACCGTCATCGACAAAATAATCCTTGAATCCAAACTTCACTATTTTTGGAGTAAAGCTAGCCGCTGCCATGTTAACTGAGACTCCTGCCTTCTAGTGGGTTGCCAGGTTTGCGCGCACGGCGCTATAATCACGTTTTTCGAAAAAACTAAACGTAATATCTCACTACAAAAACAAACGCAAATATTTAATTTTAAACAGTCAAGTCCTTTCAAGTCATCTGTCTCAAGCTTAAGTCAAGTCTCAAGTCATGAATACCAAGTCAAAGTCAAGTCAAGTCTTTTATCAATGTTAGTCAAGCAAGTCTCAAGTCAAAAAATATAGGACTCGAGTCAAGTCATGTGACTCGAGTCCCCACCTCTGGTGTATGTACACAACAAACTATGAACTATGGTGTATGAAAGGAAATATGGAGAAGGGTGAACATTTATTATTACAATTTATTTCAGACGAGTTCTTATTTGTAGAAAAAGCAAGCGGCTGTTCTAGACCAATTTTAGTCGGGGGGGGCCGTGATGGGGGCTGTTCTGTATGAGTGTTGCACATTAAATGCAGGACAAGCGTAAAGTAAAGAAACATAAAATACCATGATTTGTGTTTGTTTCAGTTACAGAATGTGCCTCAGTAACTTAGTGAAGAGGTATTTAATGACATCATTAAAACAAAAAACTATTTCCAATTACTTTCATGCAACACTTTCATACGTGACACTGTCATAGACTATTATATCTGAAGGGGGCCAGAGGGGGGTCCAAGCTCAGTGTGGCAGGGGAAATGACTGGCCCCTGTTGGCACCAAATTAGAACCGCCCATGGTAAAAAAGCCTGTTACCAATTCATGAGGAATTATTTGATTGTTAATCTTCTGTTTGGCTTCATAATGGTTGAAAGGATGATCAATATTGTTTAACCTGAGTTTATTTTTTATGTTTGTTGTGTTTAAGAGTCTATAGTGTGTAATGTGTGTTTGACTGTGTTTAGATTAGCTAATGCTGATTCTTATAAAGACAATATAAGACAAAGCACCATGTGTAAGTTTGGTTAGGAATTGGGTTTGAGTGTTAACCTATTCAAAATTGGTACGTTCTTGATTGGGTTTAGGATATATTTACCTTCTGTGTGGAACCGGACTGAGGGGCCAGTGCGGACTCTTTGGGTCTGGTTCCAACGTCAGACAGGAAGTTGGCCCACAGGTCGTCAGATTTCTTCTTCAGTTTGTCCTCAGCCTTCGGCCCTACCTTGGTGAGTTGTTCCACCTCTTCCTGTGGCCGCTCCTCTGCTTCTGCTCCGTCCCCCTCTTCATTATCTACTTTCAGTACTCCTTTCTTCCTCTTTCTATAAAAAGAATGGTTTTCATCATTCAAATCATCTTTTTAGTAGCAAATAGGGTATTTCTTTATTTATCTGTTTTAGGGCTGCAACAAACGACTAATTTGATAATCGATTAATCTATCGATTAATGAAACGATTAATCGACTATTCGGACTATTACTGTATGCCTTGCACAATTTCTCAAGCGCTCTTATTTAGCCATCAACTTTTAGATTTAGCTTGAGGTTGTTTTAGGCATGTGGAAACTAACAATGAAGACAATAAAGATGAATACTTGATTCAAAAATACATATATTATTAAATTAACTAAACACATTTTGAACAAAATTAACATTGCTTTTAATTTAAATTAAATAAATAATATTTCACATCAAAAGAAACAACAATGTTTTAACAAATCGTATTAAATAATCTGATGACAGAACTGTAAACAGAATAGCTGAAACTTTAACAAAATAAATAACTCAGTTTCCTCTAATCATTAACCCGTGTTTGTATCATGTAGTTAACTCCGTGTGTTGCTGCTAGCATACATAACACCTGACGTGGAAACGTTACTCGTGGATGGGGGGGCTACAGAGCTACTAGAAAGACAGTCGAACCCGGTGCATTCCTCCGTCTGAATATGGTGCACTTTTGCTAAATGTTTAGACAAATTGCTCGTGTTACCGCCCTTACATGCTAAACTCTTATTGCACTTTTGGCAACGAGCATTCTCCACATCGAGATGGGTAAAGTTTAACCACACCTCGGAGCGCGTTCTCTCCGCCATCTCCGCAGTGTGTTGCTGCATGTAGTAGCTGCGTGTGTGTAAACTACCCCGCCCCCTCACACACTCGGGAGAGAGATCTCGTCTGATCGAAAATACATCATAGACGCATTTGTTTGTCTTTTTGCATATTAGAAACTAGTTGGCGACACTAAGACTGCGATATAATGTTTTTGTAGCAATAATACATGACATATATTTTTTAAATGTCTCCAGTAGGCCTACCGATAAAAAGACCAATAACGTTGGAGCTTAACGGCGCGTAAAACACATGTGATGACGCAGGGCTCGACATTATAATTGGCCCGCTGGCCCGGAAGCACTATTTAGACACTTCGGGCCAGCATAACGTACTTTCCACTTGCCCGCTCGGGCTACTAAAAATATTGTTTAAAAAAAATTGTTTCCTGTGGTATTGGTATTTTGACTAGCAATTTTGTTAAATTGTTTCGTTTATTAACGCCACAACATAGCGTTTCGTGAGTCGCTTGTCGTTGTTGGGTGAAAAGCAAACAGCTGTTTGCTGCGGAGTGCAGCGCGAGCAGGCTCCCGTGAGCGGGAGCGCGCTCCTTCACTACAGACTATCGCGCCACCTAACCATTCGCCAAAACTGTTTTTAATACCAGTGGTAACCGGCCAAGCGCCGTGCAAAAAACAATCTTCAAATCAAAGAAAGTCACCGGAGGAGTTAAAGGAGAGAAAGTTTCAGCCAGCTTGATCGATGGAGTTGGCTTCTATAGAGTGGTGCAGTGACGCATCCTAAAACCCTTTTTATAATCTATCGATTAGATTTATGATTCGAACATTATAAAAGTAGGGTAGACATGTGAAGATTATCCAGCTGAACAAAACGTGCATTTATCAAACAGGTTTGTTTTCTACAGACCTTATTTCCAGCTATTTTCCAAAACCCTGTGGAGAAATTCCATTGCTTTTTGTCGAGGGAACCAGCAGCTTACTTCCTGGTTTTAGGATGCGTCACTGCACCTCTCAATATGATGCCAATATAAACAAGGTCTTCTGTTGGCTCTGTACATCAATGCTGACCTATGCTGACAAGTAAGTGAAGAGTAGAAAATATAAAGGTATTGGCTATAGGGAAATGTCCCAGCAGTTTAGGATAATGAAGGATCTAATCTGATCTATAGCCATTACATTTCTAACTCCTAATGACAGGAAGGCAGAAAGTGCATTATACAAATAATAATACTCATAATAATAGCAGACATTTTTTAACAATGACCACAATATCATTATTTTAATAAACCAAATATGAACAATTGAGGAAAATGAGGAAGAACTGATTGTTCAAATGTTGTAGTACAAGTAGTAATGTAGTTAGTGCATAAATTACTATTGCAACAAATGTGTTAATTTTCTTCATTATTAGTCGATTTTTTTTTGGACGAATGCTCCGAGCCAGTGGTTACAATGGTGGGGCCAGTGATAATACAATTCCACCGGCCCGGAGGGCCAGTGGCTTTTTACCCTTAATGTCTACCCCTGTGACGTCACCAACGAATCGACGACTGAATTAGTTGGCAACTAATTTGGTAATCGATTTTAATCGAATAAGTCGATTAGTTGTTGCACCCCTAATCTGTTTAATATAAGATATAAGTGCGCTGAAAAGTACTAAATGTGGTTAATTCAATCAAAATGGCGGACATTACGGTACAATAATTTCAGATGCTATTTAACATGCCTGCTGATAAAATGCAGCTTATCCAAGATGTTGGAGTTGTGGAAGTTGTGATGTGGAAAAGGAAATGGAAATAGATCCTAACAACGTGTTGGACTGCTAATTGACCCTTTTGGCTTTTTTTAAAGATGGATATGGAAAGTTTAGCTCTTCATCTGATATCATTCTGTCATTATTTCTTTCATCTTATAACTTGTTTATTATTTTCTCACCTCACACTGATGTCCTTTTTTTTCCTCTTCTTCTTGCTATCGCTGCCATCATGTGGCACAGTGTCACTCTCGTTCAGAGGGTCTTCCTTCTCACACTCATTAAGGTCATCCTCACTCAGGTTATCATCTGAGGAGAGAACAGGAGGCAGACATGAGAAGGAAAGAATGTGAATACACAGATCAATAATGTAGTTTATTAAAAATTAGCTAAATCATGTTGTTATGGTATGATTTAATCATGTTATCATTTACCCTGTAATTAAAGCTTACACAAATAGTTTGTTTGATTACATGTCATGCAGTTTATTTGCACAGTTCATTTTTGACATATATTATATATATTAGGGCTGTCCCGAATACTATTTTTCGGGCTCCGGATATTCGGTAGTAATCAGCAGCGAATATTCGGCCCGCGCGGGGGGCGTAGTGATCAGCAGCGAACCACTTCAACACATGTATTTCGGTATATTCACGGCATTCATTTTGTTATTCTACAGTATTGTTGTTTTATAGTTATTTGTTAATGTAACCCAATTTGTGTTCTTTGAAATTGAAAAGGATATCGCATTGTGTTTGTTACTTTCGTTGCAGTTGTATTATGTCTTAAGTGTAATTTGGCTTGGCTTCCTATTTATGGACATGCGTTTATTTTTGAAGGAGAGTTAGCGCTGTTGACAGGAAGTTGTTGTTGCTTTGGAAACAACGTGACGGAGATTAACGGAGAAAAGTAATATCTACATATAAAGACAGAGAAAGTAAACAATAACATTTATGGTTAAGTGTTAGCACCCTCCGAAGAGGCACAAGCTCTTACGTTGATATTGGAGATTTCAATCAATTCAATTTGAGAAAAAAAACGGGGGAAAAACAAACAAAACGAATATCCGAATAACGAAATTGAAACCCGAATAGTACTCCAACGAACGAATATTCAGATATTCGGGAACAGCCCTAATATATATATCAATAATTCTGTTTTAATTACATTGAATATGTTTGCATTAAGACCATTGTTTGTGGTGTGATAGACTGGATATTATACAAGGTTATAATATTTGTTTTAAAAATATATAATGTAATGACATTTTAACTAAGTTGCCATTACAAATTCTGTACCTGAAACAAACACAAACATGTTGTTTTTTTGTGCGCTATGACTTTATACTGAACAAAAAACACAAATCTTGAACACTGTCTCACCCCCCCTGATTAATAACTCGCCCCAACATGGCCCCCAAGGAAAATTGTTCTAGAACCGCCAGTGGTCTTTAGACTCCCGGTTTGTACATCTGCTGTGAAGAAATTCAGCAATAAATGTCCTTGTTCTTGATGGACTTTAGCTCAAAGTCTCTACACAGCGGTGTTATCGTTTTAAAATCGTACCTTTTGCTAGTTATAGCTAATAGAGCTAATTGAATCTATTTTATATAAAAAGTCAATTCATTAGCTACAACAACTAAAACCACAACAGTCCTCCTCCATGCGGTGTGTACTACGCTTCTGATAAAGTGCAGCTTTGTTTACCGCCCTAACCTGAAGGGACGTAGTCTGCATCTTCATTAGACGAGTATCCGTCAGAGTCGTAGTCATCGTAGTCCATCATTTTGGAGAAGCTTCAGACTGATAGTGAAGTCAATAAAGAGGGCTACCAGCGACAGTGGGTTTGCTACTAGCTTACTTCCAGGGGTTACGGAAGTAAACCTAACCGGGTTTAAATGCCTCCTTTCTAGCAGAACTACCGTTTTAATGTTGCTCTTTTAGAGCTTTAATATATTTAAATACATTTAGTGCACGATATGTATGAAACTGGGTACTACAGTTAGCCTTTCTGAAATTGAATGTGAAGACAACGGAAAGCTCAAAGGCTCAAAATGTTGGACTGCTGCTCTCTTCTGTTGCAGCGACCAGGCGAGTGTGTCTGCATCAGCGCCACCTGCAGGGGGGGAGGGTCAATACAACAATAATATCATCACAGCGCCAATCAGTCAGCCAGGATAAGATGTATAGGCCTATACGGTACTGTATAGTACTTGATACTGATGGTAATAATCTTTTATTGAACTATCATTTCAGGTCTCTCTTGAGAATGAGACCCTGTGTCTCAATGAGATTTTACCTGTATAAATAAAGGCTAAATAAAAAAATACCTTCTGCTTTCCATCCACTTTCCTTTATTGTATTAATAAAGCAATAATATCAAACAGTAAACAGCAGGACGGACAGTAAAGCCAGGGAGAGATTGGATTAGATTATATTTGATAACATGAGATTAGATTAAATGTATTTATAATCCAAAATGAGAAATTGTTTTTTCATAGCAGCATGTTAACATGGCATTGCACATAAATAGAAACAATTCAAAAAAGAAACATAAAGAGTTTATATATACAAATCAATAGTAAAAACACAGATACTCTACAGATTCACAATATAAAATTATCAGAATAAATTAGAATACTATAGACCTAGCCTCTAGTTAAAACAATAAAAGCTTTGAATAGTACACATTATAAAAGTGAGAAAAGTGGTTGCAGTTATTTAAATTAAATGTTTTTGCAATGGGGTAGAGTGTGAGTACAATATATACAAATTGTTTAAGGTTATTGAAAGGAAAAAACCTAGTGGAATCTGAGGTAAAATGAAACAATTAGAGAAACGGAGTATCCATTATGATAACAGTTTGTTCAGTGTCCTGTATTTTGCAGTGGATGATGGAAAAACCTTCTTCATCAGTTTATAAGTCTCGCTGGTGTCCCCCTCTACAATACGTCTTACAACCAGCAGAGGAGGCTGTCTGGTTAAATGAGCTCTAATAACCTGGAGTGATCAATGCACAGATACTACATCTTCACATCTGCTTTCATGGATATTATCTCACACCTTTTTAGGTTAAAAAATATATTATTATCATAATTGATAATATGTTGACTATTTTTCCATCGTGTGACATATGTTAGATCGGAAAACAGTAAACAGTAATTTAATGTAATGTTAAGACAATGAAAAGCAAAATATTTTCCCTTTTGAAAAGCTTAAACAAGTAAAAGTTAAAATGCCTTACTTTTATTCAATTTAACACACCCACATACAGACACACACTCACACACACAAATAATACTTTTTTTTATTGATTAGTTTGTTGATAAAATAATTGACTAATTTGTGTTATGATGACACCCTAAAAACGTAGTTAACACAAAAATCATTGCCATTCATACCATCACTGACATGGGGGCGCACAACGCTAATCTTTTCATATAATTTAATGCGTTGCATTATGGGACTCTTGGCCGACTGAAATGTACATTCCTTTGTGGGAAATATGTATAGGATAATATATATACAATAAGATATTCCTTTAGATGAAGTCTGACATTTGACTTGTGTAACAGCAGCTCTATTTGCATCATTAACAAGGACAGATATTAAGACACAATACAAGAAAAACAAACATTTAACATAAAATCACAATCACTGAGAGAAACATGCTCAAAGACCCTTTGGCGTGCATTTGACCTGGGATTTTGCTGTTTGAATGGACTGGTGCAAGTGGTGCATGAAGGAGTGCTTCAGTCTGACATTATTAAAACGAGGGACCCTGTATCTCCGATTAGATGGCAACAATTCCTATTCACAGTTCAGAACGTGGTTTGGGTCAGAGGGGATTTTGTTGGACAGCCTCACTAGGTTTTTATGTTATGCTGACTCATAAAGTCTCTGACACAGTTGACCTACAATCTTTGAGCAGATTTTCAGTTTTGATTTAAAGCAGTCGACAAACATTTGTACCAAGTGTATTGCAATACTGTAGAATAGTCAGCATTACAGACGTAAAGAACAACAGAATAATTAGTTACTCGCCCCAAAAGACCTATGGCGGAAGAAAAATCAATTCAGTTTTGTCCTTTTGCAGAGATAATTAATATGGTCTTTCCATGACAGCAGATCATTACACCCAAGTATTTGTATAAAATTATACTTTTTATTTAAACAATATAAAGCATAATAATCACACTTGACTCAATTCACACTCCCCAGTAAAATGTTGTAGGGTTTTCCTAGATAGGTACAGAGGCTGTGGTTGATGCTGTTTTCTGCCCTGCTTTGGCCTATCACCATTTAGTTTACATTACATTACATTACATTACATTACATTACATTGCATTTAGCTGACGCTTTTTTTATCCAAAGCGACTTACAATAAGTGCGTTCGTCCAACAAAATACAAACTTGAAGAAAACAGAATCATAAAAGTACATCAGGTTTCATAGAGCAAAAACATTTCAAGTGCTACTCAACTGGCTTTAGATAAGCCAGTCCTTTATTAGTATAAAAGTGCTTCGTTAATAGTTCTATCGCTCGAAGTGGAGTCGAAAGAGATGAGTTTTCAGTTTGCGCCAGAAGATGTGCAAGCTATCTGCCGTCCTGATGTCAATGGGGAGCTCATTCCACCATCCTGGAGCCAGGACAGCAAACCCACGTGTTTTCGCCGTTGGGAACTTGGGTCCCCCTCGCAGCGAGGGCGCAGCGAGTCGTTTGGCTGATGCAGAGCGTAGTGCACGCGCTGGGGTGTATGGTTTAACCATGTCCTGGATGTACGAAGGGCCAGATCCATTCGCAGCATGGTAAGCAAGTACCAGTGTCTTGAAGTGGATTCTAGCAGTTACCGGAAGCCAGTGAAGGGAGCGGAGGAGCGGAGTAGTGTGGGAAAATTTAGGAAGGTTGAAGACCAGATAAGCTGCTGCATTCTGGATGAGCTGCAGAGGTCGGATGGCACATGCAGGTAGACCAGCCAGGAGGGAGTTGCAGTAGTCTAGGCGTGAGATGACGAGATTTAGTGTGTTTACTTTGAATAACCAATACATTTCAAACTACAAACGTATCCAGTAAATGTTATTTCCAGTTTTTTGGTCATATTCATATTCTGTACAAACTGTAAAGTCCACTGAGACCAATGTAACTTTTGTGATATTGGGCTATATAAATTAACTTTGATTGATTCTGCTGATTCTGCCAAACTGCTCATTGAGGCTCTCATCATAAGTTTTGCCTGTGATTCTAGAAGTCCAAAGTATGCTGAGCCATCCAAGTATGGCGCCATTTTAGCAGTGACATCAGCGCCCACTTTCTCCCGCTCAATCCACGTAAGGGCAAAGAGGCGGAGCCAGAGCGGGCCTGGCCGCTGAAACACGCCCACCGAGCTAGCAAAGGCTAATAATGCTGCTCTGCGTTGCTAATCGGCTGACCTGCAGGCCCAATCCCAAACCACTCCCTCGACCCTACCCCTCCGTGACGGAGTGAACTCCGTCTGTAGCCACACTCGCAGCTCAACGAGGCTCCGGCCCATTCCCAAACCTGCCCCCTACACCCTACCCCTACACCCTACCCCTACACCCTACCCCTCCGTTTGCACGTTCACGCGGAGGGTCCTAAAACCCGGATGTAAACTCCTTCCGGTTCCTTCGTCAAAAACGCAATGCAATTTCTCCATAGGATTTTGGAAAATAGCTCGAAATAAGGTCTGTGGTTGACACACATTTAAGAGACAGATCACGTTTTGTTCAGCCGGATAGTATCCACATGTCTATCCTACTTTTATAATTTTTGAAGCATAAATCTAGTCGCAAGAAGCAAAATGCTAACATTATGCTAAAGGAACTACAGCAGGGTCGCTGCTTCAACGTCACGCCAACTTAAGATCCATATTCAAACATACAGATTGTAAATGGTACAAGTTGAAGTGTTTGTTTGAACAGTTTGCAGGAGGCAGGTACTTGCTTTCAAGCAGAACAGGGCAAACAAACTTAGCGGGAGTGTTTTACAGTACGTGTTCGGTGTAATGACGTAAAACGGCCTGGACAACTTCTGCAGTCCTATTATTTTATTTATTTATTTATATATTTATTTGACAGGGACAGTGCACATTGATTGACATTTCTGTAAATGCGCCAGAGTTAGCCAACAGGCTATTTTTCATCTGTAGTCGCTGAACAACACACTCTCACTCCCTAAGCGTCCAGGAGCGACGTTTGGTCAGTGTCCGTGGCGTCCAGTTGTGACGCTCCTAGGCTCCTTCAGCGTCATAAAGGGACGCAAATAGCTTTCAACTGATTGCAATGTATTCCCATCTGCGGCGGGATTTGACGCTCATGGAAGCACGGCATTCGTTTGTGTCGGCTGCCCTTAAAGGCAATGTCCATTCCCATTGGATAACGGAGAATTGTACACCCGGAAGTAAGTATTCCTCTTACTGTCGATTGATTTTACAGTGATATCTGCACTACTCATCGACTAAAAAACAACAGATTACCCTTGTTAATTACACAACATTGATTGGTATAAATTGTGTGCAATGCTTTTGTATTTTTCCCCTTCGATTCGAAGAAACAAATATTTTTTCGGAGTAAAGGATGGCAGAAGACACTACACTACCCAGAATCCCCAGCTATCGTTTGGACTACACCATGTGCTCTGTTTGACAGAGATGGGTCTGGCTGCAGACCGCAGCAAGGAGGCGGATCGTATAGGGGCGGATCGTATAGGGGCGTTTCCTAACTTTTTTTATCCAATAGAATGACACTCAGCAGAAATACATACTGTAGGTTGCAGTAATGCAATTTAAGGGATTCCAGCTGCTTTTATAAATCCTAGCAGAATAAGTCATTCGTTCTTTCACGATGGCCGAACAACAAGTTGAAACAGCGGTAATAGTATTTTCCAGAGATGCATGTTTATATTTATTGTAATTTCATTTTTCTTAACACACAATTGTCTCGTTATCAAAGTACAACATCGACTGTCCAACCTCGTTAAGCGTTAATAAAGTAAATAATAGTTGTATGTGGTAAAAATGTTTGTGGTATTAAATGCTAACTTA